GAAACAAAATATCTTAATTAGCATCGATTGCCAATAGTGTTTATTTTATTGAGGACAGAGTTTTACAGCGAAATGAAAACAATAAACATCCCAATAGAGGTTTGTGTTCTAGGCATGTTTAAAAGAAAAAGCACTGAGCGAACTAAATAATGATTAGAGAAATTAAATAAAGCCGGTGATTTTAATAAGATCAGCGAATTGTTGTCATTTTATAAAACATTTCTTAAAAGAATTAACTGTTTTATACAAATGCTAAGAAAGCACAACGAATCGAAAATGAATTCACGCATTAATTTATAGTCCACACCTGTTTAGAACTCCTTATAGTAGGAATGAGCTCAAATTAGCACCTCACATCAAATATTTGCATATATTAGGGCAACTAAATACGTATATCTGATTATATCAGAAACTAACTTGCATATCAATTAAAGAAAAATGGGATTTTCAAAGTCATGGATCTCTTAGCAAAACAGTGTCTCAGATTGCAATGCTTCATTATTCTGAAAAATGCATATTATCGTGGAAGTCCTATTAAGTACATTACTTTTTTCCAAGCAATATTTTGGGGTAATATTTCGAGAAATATTGGCGAAAATTCAAAGTTAAAAATGTTGAAAAAATTATCACAGAAAACTTACAAACGCATATATTTGTCTGTCCCATACGAGAAAACATAAGCTGACTCCTTAGACAAATTTTGTGGCCATTTCATTACATTACATTGCATTAGTTTACCAGAGGCACCGGAACTTCACAGGTGCACTGTTATATGAACCTTCAGCACTATAACCGCCGCCTTGATCGTTGCGGCAGTTAGTAGTGTCTGCTGCCACGTAATTGTACCAGGATTCGAATTTTGAAGAAGACATGCCAATGTGTAACGTTCTCGTAGCATGGGGCTCGATGGTATTGTAATTGCCGCAATAAAACATGCCATTGCCGCATTAAGAAGAAAAAAAAAACATGCAAAATATCTTTAAACCAAAAGTCAGTTCGAAAGACTGACAGGGAATTGGATAGATATGAGAAAGTATTATTATGTTTCGAGGCGTTTTAAGATAGAAGTTTGCGGATTTGGTGCATGATGGATCTTTTTTATGAAAAAAGAAATTTCAGAACATTGCAAACGGTGCTGCACTGATTATTAATTGTAACACCTTTAAGCAAGGTCTGAATCAAATCTTAGAATACTAATGTTCCTAATGTTTAGAAGTGTGTTTTATGTTTGTCCTTATCATATTCATGGTTTAAAGTAGTCTTTATTGCGGCCTGTCGCATGTTTAATCCGTAAAAAATCGTGATAAAACTTAGTAAATTGATGTTTATGAACTATTTTAAAATAAATGCTCTAATTTGTAAGGTACTTAATACATATCATGTATCTGTAATGAACTGTACATAACCGTAGACTTTGAAGATACTGATTCGCTTAAAATCGAATCTTCCTGGTCATAGGACATTTTAGTGAGATACTACAACATTCAGATTATTTCGTAGAAGGCACATTATCAGAGAAGTCTTCATACCAGATAGTCTATCTTTTGGTAATAGAAGGCAAGAGGTTAATGTTTACTTCGACAACAGACGAGTGTGATGCTTATGTTTATGTCACATCCGGATGAAATGATAAGATATCATTACGCGATGTTTTTCTGTACATATACTGTTCTATAGATTTTCGCTTTTTTATTACACAGATGAAATAAGCTTACTCTTAACGAATTGCAGTTTCCGGGCTTCATTATGCGCTTTATTTTTTTAGATTAGATTTTATTTAGAAGGTAAAGCAAAATTTAGATTACGTACTATATATTTATGTCTTACAAATTCACAAGCAACGTTTTCTCGTATTTTGAAGAGGTGGTATAACTGCTGTAGCTTTCATACCATGAGGACCATCTTTTTCACTTTCGATTATCAAAATGCACCCTCCATGTATTTTTATTTTTAACTTCAATTAATGTAAGTAACTTAAAGTAATGTAAATGGGCTGAAGTGCGTCCATGGTACATTAATGGGTGCAACCCTACCCACCTGGCAGATTTTGTCATATGGTCATTAATGGGCTGTGCCGGCTTCAACTAATAAACAATGGCAACTAGCAACCCGGCTGCATCCCAGGTAATACATGGCAAGAATGAGAATGACTGACAATAAAAGCCACGGAAATCCAAGGCTCCAAGACCCGAGTAACTAAAAGTTATAAAATGTAACCAAGGAAACTAAAAAGATACAACCAACTGGGATAGTGCGTCGATGGTATAAGTTAGCTCTATCTACCGTAATTTTCCGTCATGTTTCAGTGCTGATTTTGAGAATTTTGGTTCACTCCCTCTCGCGACGGGAGTTGCCAGAGGGGCTATTTACGACCTCTATTACTATTAACTTTGTTAATCTTATCGAATTACCTTGCGCATATTTCTGCAAATGTCGCCATGCTACTGCTACATTACCAGATGCTCAACATTATAAATATTTATGATCAGACATGAAAACTAAACACCTTCTGTTAAGCCGAAATAAGAACCAGCCAAACTTTTATAATATCATTTTTGGGATCAACATGCCCAAATTAATAAGGATTTCACTTACGTAACAAAACGTGTGTAGGAACAGTGTAATTAGTGATGCTAAGTTTCCTCCATCTCTTCTCGTTTACAGCACGTATAAAGTTGTTTCTTTTCTTATTTACGTACTTAACATATTTTTTTTCATTAAAAAACGTGGATGCTAGAAATAAATTTCTAACAAAACTAGATGCTATTAAAGTTTGGCAGCAAAATACAATTAAAGCTTGACACTAATGCTTTGAATAATATGTGCAATTAAATTTCATATGCTAATCGATTAACGATTTTAATTCATGTGCAGATAGATTGATTGCATCTTTTATTGACAGATTATCAGTATTCATTGCTACGCTATTGCGCTACTTTTTTTTTATTAAAAGTGAGAATAGGCATCTAAGCGTCTAAATGTAAAGAAGAAATATTTTTGATATTGAGTTGTTGCAAATGAAATAGACGAATTCATAGATGCTCGAAATGCAAAAACAGGAACAACCATTTTTAAAAATCAAACCAGTCACTATCATCATCAATAAATAATTGTCATTGGGTGGATTGTGTCTGTATGCTATGTTTGAAATTTTCACTGTCTGTTAGGGAAAGGAATGAAGTCTTCTTTCCACTGATAGACGTATGAGTCACTGATAAAGCATTTCTGCAGGGAAAAAAATCCAGGTAATGGAGAAAAATGACAGTAGAGAAAAGTGATGGTATAACGTAAAGTATTCTAGAGAATGTTTTTTTAGAGAGAGTTACAACTTTGTGCAAAATTTTTCTGCATGGTATAGAGCTCTTGCATTGTATTAGATCACCAAGATTTGTTTATTGACAAACAGTTCAAGACATAATACTTTCATAACTGACTATATATCCTTTACAGTAGCGATCTACATTCATTGTTTGGCCCTGAGGGAAAAATTAATGGTGTGTGATATCAGAAGGAGATCACCAAATTCTTTAAATGTGAAGGAGGTTTGAGAACAATTTCTTTAGTTCCTTTATGCCTAGCCGTTAAGATGAAAGCTTACAATGTTCTTATTCAGTGGAAAAGAGCATACACCAAATTCCTTTACCTTCTCGTGACTGGTTAGTTTGTCCAGCTTTCACATATCAAGCTTTCCTACTTTATCTATTATTGCTAAGAAGCAGTGAACCTATTAAACAGTGAACTTTGAGTACATGCAAAGCTTCCTGTTATCGTTTAGAACTGGTTAAATCCAATTAAGTCATTTAATTCAAGAGGATTGCTTGAGGAAAGTGTTGATTAGAGCTGTTGGCAGAGGCCTCTTGGTTCCAACTTTTCAAAATGAAACCGTCGATAATTGAACATCTGTTAAAAGATTTATTAATGCATTTGGAGTTATTACTGAAATCCCCAATTTGATTTGATAAAGCAAAGTGGCTTTCATTAAACACTTCTTCCCTGCTTGGCTTTGTCAGCTTTCATTACTGCATGTTTGCTGAAGTTAACTGCTGCTATTGAATCGCACATGCTTTGCTTGCTACTTTGTCTTGCATCATAAAAATTCGCGTGAAATGAAGATTCTGCTTTTCGCTCACTGCATAGAAATCGCCGCATCTTTCGTCGGCCATTTCACTTGCAAAAACACAATTAAAAATTGCTTTTTTGATAATTATTTGCTATTTTGCTTTGTATGTTTTTTATTTTAATAACTTAATAATTATTTTTGTCTTGATATCATTTTGTTCTTTTTGTAAAAACTATATTTTAAAAACTGCCACTGTTTAACCTTTTCTTGGCATAATTTTAAATGATTAAGATTCAGTGCATTTCGAGAAACAAAGGACAAAGTCTCTTTCAAGAACTAATTATTTTTTGCAAGCGTATGAATTAAGTTGCTTTAGGTAGGCAACAAGGTGAACAGTTAACAATATCCTTTGAAGAAAGCAAATGGCGAAGAATTTTTATGAATTAAGCTTTGTCCTTCCCTCGCATTTCCTTTACCGGACAAAGCTAATTGCTGGGCATTATATACTTGAATCGATTGAATTAAATAGCTTCAAAATAATTTCCTCCTGAAGAAGGCAGATCACAGAGTTTGTCTTTTGAAATGCACTCATATTTTACATTTAAAATTATCGCCAATCAGAATTACCATTATATAATTCCAATTTGGATTGCATCTCTTGCATGAATTAATGAAAAACAGAATAGAAATATTATAAATAATTAAAGATGGCATATATATCTTGCATGCATGTCTGCTAAACAAAATATGGAATTTATCATTTATTAAAGTTGGCATGTACCTCTGCATGAAATAACGTCAAACAAACTCTGAATTTGGTCATTAAAGCTGAAGTGTGCATGTACCTCTTGCATGAATTTTATAGCTGTGAAGCGATTTTTAATGTCTTAACGATATTTCATTATGAGAATTTTATATAATTTTCTGTGAAATTCTTAAGGATTAAAGGTTGAAGAAACTTTTGAGGAGGAGGAAACTTTTACTGAAATTGTGACTGTGAAAAGTAAAGGTAAGCGAATGTTTACTACTATTTATTCATTTTATATGAAAAAGTGGTACACCTTTAACGAGCAAATCTGAACCCTGAGCCTTTCTATTTTTACACTAGTCCTTTATTTTTGTTCAAGTAAAGAATTATTCAAAATCCATATTCTTTACAGTAAGGTAAATTTGGAGAACAATACATTTTGAATTTAAAACTACTCAATTTTTTGTCACATCTGTTCGCCGTTATACATCAGAAACCTTTAAGAAATTTGATTGTACAGTAAACTCTTGCCGAATGTAGGGGTTATGTCATTAACACATTGCGTAAAACCGCGTTCCACAGAGTTAACATTCTATGAAAATAACGGGTTAGGTATGGTTCAGATTAAAAAAAAATATGTATCATTTATATAAGCCTAAATGCTTTTGTAATTAAGAGCGGAAAGGGAAGCAAATGTTAATGCAATGTTGTAAATATTAATAAATGTTGCAAATTTTAATTGAAAGGATTTCTATTACTACTTAGTATGTATATGATAAAATTATTTTTTTAAATAGCCGGTGATTTGTGTTTGAACGTCATTGTGCTTGCCTTTCATTAAACGTTTCACGTAAGGGACGCACAATTTTTCAATACCTTTCAATAAAGTATCCGCTTCTTTCTTCATTTTTGTCAATCTACATTACAAAATCAGACAGTTCATTTTTCTCGCAATTCATTTAAATTCTTGTACATTAAGGTCTCTCGATCTTCTTCAGTAAAAAAAATTTAGCTAATGTCATAAGATCACCCAAGATTTCATTCGTCATTTCACGATCGTCATCCTCGACTAATTCTTTGATTTCTCTTTCGTCCATATCTGAAAACCCTTCGTCGCGTATTGCTTTGGCAATATGTATTGTTTCCTTGACTTAATTTTCAGTTGATGGAAAGCTTTTTAAATTGTTGTTAACTTCTTTGCAGAACTGATACCAGCGAGCATATATTGCTGATGAGTTCACTTGTTTCCGTGTAAGCTTAATCATTTCTTATGCAGTATCTTATGTTGAATCGCTTCCAAACTTCCATTAGTGTGTAGTGGTTTCTTTCGTCTAGTGCTTTATTCGAAGAAATGTAAACATGCTTGGCTTAATAAGCTTTGAATAATTAATAAGCTTTGAATATTTTTATGATTCCTCGATCCATTGGTTAGATTAAGAAGTGGTTTTCAATGGAAGGAATAAAACCTCAACCTATGAGGACCTTCAGCAGTGTGTCGTGAAGCATTATCGAGAATTAGGAGAACTTTGAAGTTCAGGTTTTGCTGCTGTCTGCAACATTTCGCTTCGTCAATGAATGCATTTTCAAACCAGCCATTGAAGAGGACTATCGCAATGCGACCGATGCTCTGCAGCATCGCGCGTGTGTTTGAAATTCTTACTCAGAACAAATTGAATAGAGACAATAAAACGCTTACGCGCAAAATAGTGTTCGGCAAGGATTTACTGTATTAAAAATAAGAACTTCGGTGATACAAATTAATCAGGAAAGTAGTAAAATTTCACAAAATATAATGCATGACGTAAACAAAACAAGACAATCTCATAGCAGTCCATGATA